AACCCTGTACCTCCTTGAAGGTTTATCCATTTATTGTAGTGATAAAGTGAGTTCACCTTAAATATTGCCTCTAGCAAGCCCCTGGACAGGCTTGTGTATGAGCCAGAACAGCATCCCAGGGCCTCACAAACTACAGAAGACACAGTAATGAACAACCCCCAGAAGGATTGGCCTATTGTTCTGCTATAAGCCATCTAAATTCTCACTTGTCTTGTATCAAGACATCTGACACTCCTGTGAAAATTGTTGCACTTTCACACTCTTCCATCACTTCGGGTTCACCTTAGGATTTGTCATACAAAACATAAGATTTTTGTTGAAACTTTAACACTGATTGTCATCCTGCTCAAAGCAACAAAATACATTTATGGAGTAAAAGTTTGATTGATGAGAAGTCATTCTTGGGACACTAGTATAATTGGTGGGATCTGAGTCCATTCAGAACAGAATAACAGCTACATCTCTGCCTGCCACAGGACAATAAGTGCCTTATTATCATCTAGTATTACTCAGAAGTGACTAATGAATAATTACTGAGAAAAACTTGTAAGAGACCACGTACCATGTAAGAGACATACACTATATATAGTATCATTGCAATTATTAGAATGTAAGAAGCACACTAACTGCACAGCTGCCTATTTTTATTTCTTTTTTTTACTTTACACAAAATGTTTACTGGAAATACATGGTTCAGTTTTTGTTGAGTAAAAGTTATATATATATATATATACAATATGCAAATGAGAGAGCTGTAGTGTCTTGACAATTGCCTTGTGCACACCTGCAGCCCCAAATCCTTCAGTGGTTTTCAAGCCGTGAGAGGAAACCAGATCCAGGTGGTTGAATGCAACATAAAGCAAAGTGAGCATCTGACAATTTTACAGACATAAAACCATCTTCAAACTACTGCAAAGTGCTAATCAAACAAATCCAGCGTAATGAGCAATAAAAAGGTTCTTTGAACAAATTCAGTTACGGTGTGAGAGGAATTAAAGGGAAGAAGTTGGTTAAATCTCTATTCAATTTTTTATTGGATATTCTGCAATTATTATAACAGCAATTACTAGGTGACTAATTTATTTCATACCTCTTTTGTCACAGCTTAAGCTTAGACTGTCACTTTGCCGTTTTGAATGACATAATGACAGTATTTTCACAACAGTATTTTCATAACAATTGAGCAGAAATAATTCCTTTGAAAAAAAAGTTGTTTCTGTACAAAAGTTCAAATATAGAAAGAAAATTTAAACTATTTGTATTTGTTAATTTTTGTTGTCTTTGGTCAAAATCTATAAAACTCCTTTGTCAACATGATTTCAACCCCCACACCAACTCTATGTTATGGCTAATTGTCAAAATGGCTGCAATATTTTATAATACAAATTTCCCAAATCAAACACAAAAGATCTGTAATTTTCCCAAACTGCTATTCTGACAATAGACACTTTGGGTTAATAAGTATTCACATCATTCCTCTTGACATTTCGCTCGTGACAAAGGGTGCAGCGTGCAACCTTCATTTTTGACATTTGCATGATCTTGCTGTGCACTGTCACTGCCCCCTCTCTCCCCTGCCATTATTTAAATCCAATCTTATTCATTATCATTTCAAATTTGCTCTTACAACTAATGCTACATGACACTGTTTGTGTATCAATTTGACATATTCCAAATTGGGATGCACACGTTTGACATTTCGCTTCACTAGTTGAATAGACTTGACCCTCATGTGTAAGATTCAACAAATGGAATTAAATGTGGATAATTGAGAGGCTATAATTTCTTGGAAGGATGGAGGAAATATGTTGACAGCCCATGTTGCTATCTTACCGTACATAATATTGTTATATATTATACTTGTATAGTGTTATGTTAAGTTTAAGTCTGTTTTCTAATACTTATTTAAATCCAAGGCCTGAAGATGGAAATTAGCAATTTTGCTATAACCTGGCTTAAATGTATGAACTCTTTGTGTAACTAAATATATTGTCATTTTTGAGTTCCTATTTCTTTTTTCTTGCTGTTCTTGAACAGTGTGCGGCAGCATCTCCCAATTGTGGGACAAATAAAGGTTCTCTTGTCTTATCTTGTCTTAATAGACCCCTAACTTGAATCATCCTCATAATGGATTTACAATTTAATCCCAGTTGAAGTTCGATTGGAGTGAATAGAAAAGAATAAACTTTCTCTGGACTATTCTACAGTATGGCATTAAACTTCTCTATATTGCATTTAATTAGAGGTGTTTTTATTGCTCAAATAAAAAATAAAAAAAAACACTGAAAACATATTTTCTTGTGACTGTGAACAAGGTTGCATCTCCACAAATTTTACTTGTAAATTGGCCTGGTGGTATCGCCTCATTGTGTCCATAGAGATAGATGCTTTCAATGCCATACTGTGAAACTGTGGGTAAAGCAATAAAATCTCCATTGAAACAACTAGATAGCAGGCCCTTCACCATAAATGCTCTTAAAGTTTCATATAAGCACATGTGAGTGCATGATACTTAAATAAAAATATTAATTATTAATTCATTCCCAATGTGACCAGACACAGAAGTGGGGGATGAGATATGCATTAAAAACTATGACAATTGGATTTATGATGCTTGCTTAAGAAAATGTGTCTGACAACTGGGAGCAAACTGTTCAGTATTGCTAATCTTCCCGCAGTCTGCCATTTATTCTGTTTCCAAAATGAATGATGTTAGCTGTTCTGTGACATCTCTCAACTCACACTGTTTTAATGCACACAATTCTGCATGGTCACTTATCCAGAAACATGGCAGTTCTCATCTTCATAATTGTTATTCTCCCCTTTTGAGTCTGAGTTCACGCTTGCTCTCCCCACAACACAAAAGGTTATTTGCTCCCTCCTCTGAGATATCGACTGCCCCAGTGTCAAACGGTTTCCGCTCCACAGTACTGAAACTCCAGCTCCGCCGCTCCGATCAAACGCTGGCTGCTGCTCCACGTTAATTTGCTTTCCACTTGAAAGACCAGTGAGCTATGATCACATCATGCAGATTGTGCTGCCAGCAGGATGCCGTGTCATCGAACAAAGCACCTGCCCTGCCAGTTCACACCCACACAGCCACTTGCACTGCGCATTTAGTGACTATATTGATCTGCTTTCTAAGTAAATCAGATCATAAGTATTGGAAATGCCATTTACTCAATTCAAGATAAAGTCTTTGTTGAATAGTGACACAAAATACTTAATAAATACTTTAGTAAGGTTATCTTTGTCTTTTGAAATTTATGTTATGTCATCTTGAGAAAATTATGCTGTGGCAAGAAACAACACTATGTTCCCTTACTGAGCAGCTGTACTGTTGATGCTTAGACCTAACAAGCATATTGTGTAAGGGTCAGTACTGCCATCTGTGCATACTCATTGCATCTAGACTAAAATGTAGATAATGCATAGTGTGGTAGCTTTGAAACTGTACATATATTCAGTGATCAGATGAAATATGAAACATTACATAGGCTTATAGAATTGTCAATGCTTTGCCACCATGAGACAGACAAAGCTGCAACTTAGACCTATGGCAGTTTTTGACCAGAGTTTATATTATGAGAAGAAATACCTAATGGCAAAATGCTGTATCCATATCAGTAGTCTCAGCAAGGCTTTCAGCTTTTCATCCTTACTTGATATACAGTAAACTATTGTCAGTTCAAAGCTGTTGCAGTGGCTGACTTGACGGATAAGTTGTTTAAATGTGTTCTTGCAGTTAAAAGACAGTGAACAGAGTCTGATGTCTGTCTGTAAGCAATAATTCTGCTTGCGTGGTTGACAGCATTACTTGATGAGCTGTCAGCCAGTAGCAATAAAAGTTAGAAAACATTTTGGCAAACAACATTTTTTGTCTTGGTTTAAACCCATGATTTTCTTGTTTAAATATCAACTTTTTTTGCTCTCATTTTAGTATGTGGCTTTTGATTAATAACAGGCCAGTGTCCTCTATATTTTTCTGATTTGGCTGACTAAAAATTATACCAGACACCAAATTTCATTCCATTTCCATTAGTTCAATCTGGTATTAACATTTATTTTATCAGGGCACAGTGTATTGACAACTCACAGCTTATTTGTTTTATCATTCAACCAATAGTCCAGTCATGATGGCATGCTTTAGTGAGCTTTATGTGTACTGTACGATCCTGGGTTTCTGCTGAATGAAATGCAGCAGCAGCTATGTCTATAGAAGGGACTGTGGCACTATACAAGGGACCGGTGGCAGTAAAGAAGGGACAGTGAGAGTGCTGCTCACGTCTGGAGTCATTACATTCCACTTCACAGGGGGGCAGAGGTCGTCCAGAGCATGTCCGGACCACAGCAGAAGCCAAAGAAGGAGTAATTCCAATATTGTACAGTACCATGTCCCTGGCTACCCCAGGCAAGGTCTATTGCCATTTAGGCTTTGAATTAAATTAAAATGTATTTTTCATCTTCTCCATCAAACTTGGAGCAGATACAGTATTCTCTAGAGATATGGCTTTGGAGCTTAGAAATTTCAGCATTAGTCATACTCAGCAGTCTTCATAATCTAAAGCTTTAGTGATTTCACATCCAAAGTGTCATGGTGATGGATGGAAAAAGTGGTTTAAGTTACTTTAAAGGCTACTGAAGAGTATAGTTTCATACAAAGGTCCGTTTACTTTTAATATATCAGTATATAACAATGTACCTTGCACTTTCCCTAAAGTAAATATCGCCAGACTAATTTTCAATATTAATTACAGCATTCACTCCATATTTCACACAGCTTGTTTTTTCTATTCTTGTGCTGTTCTAATTTGCTATACCCTTAAATCAAAATGAGCATACTTACAGCAAACACCAAAATACCAAAATGAGACTTTCTCTGAGGCTGCAATACTCTCTCAACTTCCAGTTCATGATAGAGGGAAGATTGACAGAGCCCAGGCTGCCTCTCCTCAGTGTAAATAAAGTTGTGCTGTCTGAATGTTTGCACAGACACTCACCATCCTCTCGAGACCTCTGGATAAAAGCGTCGACTCCACTCTCTCCATAGTTCCCTTCTGATGCGACTGTGGACACATAGTTCCACTGCATGGCTTTGACGATGTCCACCATAGCTTGAGCTTGGTAGGTGTCAGGGGGAACGACCCGTGAGAAGAAGTCATATCTGGTGTTATCGCTGAGCTCCGGGGCCGTCGATGCATAGCTGATCTGAGGGATCTGAAGACATAGAGAGGAGAAATTTTGTTTAGTGTGAATTTATGAAAGTAAGAGTTTATGAAGTAAGAAAAATAAATACAACAATAATAATAATAATAATAATAATAATAATAATTTTCACACTAGTAAACAATATTAGTCTTTTATTTCACCATGGGGTCTGCAGGAAAGGTAAAATTTTGTCCTAGTTTTGTTATCTTCAGTGTCCTTACTTGTGTAAATGAGTATACTAGTTTTGGCTTTAATTTTGGCAATGCGAGTTCATTGTGCTATTGCATTATTTGCTGTTAAAGAAATGGAAGTCTGGAAGGCCCTGCTTAGACTGCTGACCCTGTAACCTGGCCTCGGATAAGTGGAAAAAGATGGATGGATGAGGAGAAAATGCAGATTAAGATACAAATGTTTTTCTAGTTGAATAGAATACATTCCAATAATTAGGCATTGTAATCTCTACAATTACATCTATCCAAAATAAGTAATTCTGCCACTCATATTCAATACTGTTGCATGTTGAATTCACTTTCTGTGTAGTGTGCAGGCCCTGTTGTTGGCTAGTAAGGTTTTCCTGGCATTTTTAGTAAGGCTTTATTGCAGCATGTGGTGAATTTATTTCTTGATTTTGTTTCTAAAGCATGTTTTATTCCATCTTTTGCTGCTGTTCCTGTTAGGTATAAACTTCTCTTTACATGGACATTAGTTGTCACATTTTTAAGTCTTAACAGTGTACATTGAAGGGTTACTTGAGCCCATTTTGGTGGATAAAGAAAAGATATGACACATAACATCTGCTGAAATCTCCAGGCAGCTCCTTAGTGGTTGCTCATCCTCTGCAGGAGGCACATTGTTTCTTTAAATAGTCTTGGTGATGGCAGGCTAAGCTCCAATACTTCCTCAAAGTATTTACCACGCAGGAACAGCAACTCTAATCTGCTACATTCACACTTCACGTCTTCAGCATAATGCCCAAATTATGTTCGCAGAAAAAACATATAAGAACACAGAGCGCCTGAAGAGCTGCGGTAATTCCCTGTGTTCCTGTCAGAATTAACCACCCTATTGGCTCATGCAAAAGGAATGAAACCTATAAATTATGTCATGTGCTGTTCCTGAACAATTTTAACCAGAAGATTAGAACAGATTTTCCTTGCTAAATTGGTTGTTTTCTAAGTCTACAAAGTAATGTTGAAGGCAGGAGCCAGTATTTCTATATGCTTTTTTAAGAATGAAAAAAACCCCACAAATATTGCATTATCCAGGACTTGTGGAGGTTTCTATTACTTATGTTTGGAAATCTTTCTTGTTTCAACAATCCTCATGGCTTTAACGGACTTTGTTCTCTGTCATCACAGACTTAGCTTCATAAGCGCAAAGTTGCACTGTTATCTCGACTTTTGCTCACTTATGTTATTTCTGATTTATTGCTTGAAGTGGCACTTTGCTTTTTTTGGTTTGCATTGACCCATTTCCCATCAAAGCTTTCTCCAGATTCCTTGTAAGGAGTTCAAAAGTTTTAACATAAAAAACTAGTAGTATGCATATAGGTTGGAACACAGAACACACCCTTTCACCAAAATATTTGTCTTAAAGCATGGAATCATCTGTTAAAATATCAACACTATGCTGTACACAAACTGAAGTTCTCTTTAAAATCCCAAACCATTCATGTACAAACTCTATAATGATGAAACACTGCATAACTGAAATGGCATGGAAAAGTTACATAAAAGGTGTGCATTGATTTTAAGGTACATTTAGTGCTGATGCTGATCTTTCTCATCTTTTCACACAGCTCTAGTCTTTGATGTGGTCAGAAGGCCTCACAGTGAACCTGCTGCTGTCACTGCTACCTCTGTCAGAGTACAGCTGTTTAGCCTGTACCCCTGACCAAGAGATCCACAAGACATCTGTACTACTTCTGTGATCATAATCCACCTACCAATTGAATTAAATACATGTATACATGTATACATGTATACATGTACAATACATGTATAATTTATTTATATATGTTTATTTTAATTGATTGTTTTGAAGCTAGAATGTAATTATTAGAATTGGTGTATTCACTACACACATTGCATCGACACTGGAATTAGACCTGGCACACCACATACACCATATTCACACGGAATTAGTTTTACCTAGGGACCTCCGGTAAACTGTAATAATTATGAACTTTGTGTTTGTAGTCCCGTAACAAATGTCCATGTCTGGAAAAATGGAAAAATTTAACTACAAACTAAATTAACAATATGTATTCACCATGGACAATACTCTAATTCTGTTATTGTTTTTAAAATAGAAGCAGTACTAGCTATATGAATGAAATATTTTCTTGTAATATTTCAGCTTTACATTTACATTAATGCATTTAATGCCACTGATGAAACCCCCTTTTATACGATCATTATTTTACCCTTAACCTAGCCATAAGTTAGTTAGACATAAATCTTTTAATATGTGTTCTGTACCTACTTTGGGAAGTTGCCTCTGCTATCAACTGGAATTGGTAGTAGATTCATCTTTTGCAGTGGCGAGTAAGCCATTCAATTTGAACCATTTTGATTTCACCACTTCAGACTTCCATGAACAGAATAAAGTAGCCTGAGCTGAACAAAAAGCATTGTGCCCAATCTCAGTTTTTTGCATAGGCTCTTAAAATCAGGAACCAGTGCCTTGAACAAAAATACAAAACATGTTGCTGAAAATACTTATATAAATATGGAAAAGGCTTTGTTTCATCTACCATAACTTTACAGATTTCTCTTAAAAGTTATTGCTTTGTACTGCATCAAATTCACCAATCAACCAAAGCTTGTTAACTCCATTCCTTCTAACAAAGTAGTCAGTCGTTTAGTGTGTGAAGTCAGGGACTGTGTGCCTGTGTCAGCCTTCTGGACTGATGGCTGTCACACTAATGCCGTTGTCTTCTCGCAGTGCTCTCTCCACTTGGGTCTCTTGTTTTGAGCATTGTGTAAAGTACATTAGGCATGTGAGATGTGAAAGATGCTGAACTGGAAGAATAGGTTTCAGTCTTTGGCCTTGACTAGGCTGGACAATTTTCATCTGACTTGGGAATTGGCAGGTGTACATGAGACTTCTTTTTCATCTCACTTTTCTATTTGCAATATATTGTATATTAAGAGGCTAAAATGAAGAATTACATGGGGAAGTTGCTGCTAAAGTGTCATGACACAGATGATTTTATCTTATATATTGTTTACTTGCCCTATGTACGTGCAAGGAAACTAGCACAAATGATGCAGACTCAAATCAAAAGGGGTACATTTTCTGTAAATTTCTATCAAAAAGATTAGACCAGCCCATCAGTAATTTTCATATTGTTCCATATTTGGCAACATGTAATGTTCCAAGCTGAATGTAATCTATGCATTACACAACTTTTTTCTCCTACTCTGCCTCTTTCCCTGGAAGCAGCAGACGTGTGACTTCATTTTTTCTTGCCTTTCACACTGCATTGACGTCACAAGGTGGAGACTAGGAGGTGGAGAAGAAGTGTTGTTCAAAGGTGTTTGGAACTTGTTAATAGAATCTTGTTTCACATTAATTCATGTTTTGTACTGTGCTACAGCTTCTTAAACACTTGCACATAACAATGCACTTTTCTGAGTACTAGATGTGCTTGTTGTATTAGCTAATTTAGAGCAAGGAAATCTTGATTTGGGAGGATGAAAGTAGTCTGCCACAACACATTTTCCCATTGTGAGATGATTCCACTGGCTCTTTCGTGAAGTGGCCTTTTAAAAGCAGATAAGATATCTTCAAAAATCTCCACTAACTTTATGCAAGGGTGTACCTGTCCGTCCGGCACTTACCATGGATTACACAGTGGTTCACAAGAATACTGGATATTATACAAGGAGGAACAAAGCAGCACAACAACATGCTCTCACCACTATTTGAACTTTAGTGTTTGATTGTAATAGCCTTTCCACTTAGCAATCAGAGAGTTAGATCTTGAAAACTTATTTACTCAGAACTATTGCATCAAGAACATATGAGCGAAGCAGACTCTTGAAACTATATTTATAGCTTGTATAATGATCGGTGTATTTTAAGTGATAAATCCAGACAATGGATTAAAATGGCCTGACTTAGCCTGATGGGGAGACCTGCTTGTCTCAATGGACACTGAAGCAGGTGGTTGACCTTCCACCAGAATAGCTGCATAGTGTACCAGCCATAATGAGTAGTTAAAGATTTTAGTCCTAGGCACTGATTTCTTTCCTGCCTTGGCCCAGTACTTGTATAGACAAGACCAGTGTCTTGTGATCAGTTATTTTAAATATATAGTATAATGCCAAAAGTTGTTTTCAGTTTGAAAAAGTGAAGATTCTAAAGAGTTAAACACCATTCTAACCAGTTGTGCTGTTGCCATCGTTTCTGTTTAAACTTCCATATCTGCCTGGACTGTGGGTGCTGCTGTTGCTGAACCAACCCATGTTGTATTTTTCACCTGAGGGATTTCACTGCTATAACAATCACACAATTTCAGCATTCTGTCAGAAACCGGGACAGCCAGAGCTTATCATGTTTGTGTTGGCCAGTCACTGGACTCCGGCGATATAAAGTCCAGAACAGTGCTTTAACCCTAATAGAACATAGTCACTCCATAGCATTGGATTAGAAAATTTAATTTCCCAGCTCAGGCCTTCATCTCATTGGCTTCCAGAGAGTCAAAAGCAAGTGAGAGCATAGAAAACTTGAAAAACTGATGTGCTATAAAAGTGAATGTGCTCAGTGTAAAGAAAGAGAGGGATATCTTCACGGCGATGTATGTGAACTGCAGTGGAATTCTTGATGACTTGCTAAGACCGCCTCCAAGATTTAAAGATGAAGCTCTTGTGGGGTTATTTAAATACTCCTATAGGGCGGCAGCATTTTAGTCATTCTGTGTACTTCCCATCTGCGCAGGATGAGCCTCTGTGCTTTGCTGGCTCTTTGTGACCTAGAACATTGACTTTCTGCAGCTTTATAGA